CCCTTAATCCTATCCTTCACTCTTAGTTTAAAGACAATAGTTATAGTTGATGGTTGATGTTAACTATCGTTAGAAAAACAATCAACCAACACACACACAATTATTTGAAACAAGTTCAGCCTGTAAAAAGGGTGGATTGTCCCCTTTAAAGGATTATCAGAATGACAAAACTGCACAACCCCCAGACAAAGAATGTCACCTTTAATAAATCACAACCATGACACAGCAGGTGGTTCCTTTTAGTAATGCACTGGCTTGTGCGTTTCTTTCTGCGAGTTGTTAGTTTAGTTTTTTCATTTTCAGATGTAAGGTCTACAGGATATACGTAATTAGCATAAAAAAAACGCAGGCTGTCGAGTTAGAATCCCTGAATTGGGGGATGGTGGTTATTTTTGACCCCAGAGCACATGGAGCCAGCTAACAGCGCTGCATATAATTACTGGAGCAATGGAGAATGTAGGCAGGTCGACGTGTTTAGGGCACGGAGTAAATCGTGACAGTAGTGTCTTCAATGCTCTCGAGGCATGAAAAAAACAAACAGCTCAGCTCACATCAGTTAATGTCAGTTGTTCTTGCCTGAAACTGTGTTGCTTTATTGATGCTCAACATGTTGCTTATGGTTATCCAGGCTTCACAATTAATTTGAGAATATATACATAGATCACTGTGAGCACCTTTAACAGTTATCTATCCGACACATTTAGATCGCATGCCTGTTTGAAATGATCCAGTTTCACAAAGGACAAATACAAATAATAAATATAGTAGTAAAAACACTGACATGCTACATCTGATCACAGATCTTCAGAAACAAGCACCAAAGAGGAGAATATGATTAATTATGTGGATAGCAGACTGCATGCGGCTGAAACAGAAGAAATGAGGAAAAACAAAGAAGGACAAGATCAGATGATAACACAACTGGAAGAGGACATCGGACTCCTCCATGGCTGCTGTAAACTACCTCTCCACGGGACAAGTGGGTTCAAAACAGATAAAGGGAGAGAGGGAAGTTGTAGGGGATGAGAGAGAGCTGCAGTGAGGGAATAGAGGGGGAGGAGAAAGATGAGACGCTGGTGTCTGTGACCTGCTTTCATGTCACAATCCATCACAAATCAAATATGACGCAGAGACAAACAGGTGCAAGTCATTTCAGTCTCCGTGTACCCACCATACAGCTTTAACAAGTCTGTGATCATTCTGAGAAAATAGTCATGGATTCACCTTAAATCCATTACATCTATCAACAGGAAAAAAAAAAAAATAAGTCTGTCCGCTTCAACTTCTCAGTGGCTCAGTCTTCGTTTATCCCCTCTTTCTTATATATCGAAGCTGGTTTGTATATTGAGAAGGCTTCTCGGCGCCTCGATCTTCACCTTTGCGTGGATGTCTCGGTAGGCGGGGTTACTGTAAGGTCAGGTTGCTCACTCCCGGGTCATGCGAACTTTGACTTTTTATGTCTGTTGATGCAAAATCAGCAAACGTGGTTTACGCTTGAACTATTTCCCTGTGATATTGAATGGAAGTCTGTTCGGGGTCTGGTAAGAATCGTGGGGGTAAGAACAATGGAAAAGTGTCAGCAGACTGCCTGTAAATGGATCAAAAGCACGGCTGATGAGGATCAGAATAGCCAGATCGGATCAGAACTCCACCGGTCAGTAGCTGTGATATGAGGCCTTCACCCTGCGGAGATAGCAACAGATATTAAAGAGCGCCGTGCGGTTTACAGAGGCAAATCAGGGTGGCTCCTACCGGCACCTTACAGTCTGATCTTCTTGTCTGAAAGATTTATCAGTGTTCATCAACGAAACTCAAGATGATTGCTGCAGGTCTCCACTACTGTTCTCCTCAACACCTCCAACATGGATGAACTTTCTCAATCTCTGAAGTAACCAGTTTAATGCACTGCAGAGTTGGTCGTGTGAGGGTTAACAGTACTCCCATTTGTAAAGAAAAACATCAAAATAACAGCTTTTTTTTTATCGAAATTATTTTGTCTTGCCATATAGTTTTACCCTGTTTTCAAAACTTCTCTTATTATGAGGTGCAAACTTATGAGGCCTGTGTTTTATTGAAATGGCCTAGAGTAAACAAAGTTTTAATATTATATCTATTTCATCGGTCCAGTTTGAAATTTAATCACCTTGGTGCATGGAGTTTGGTGACTTCAGCACCCATATTTTGTTTTGCTTTATTTCAGGTACTTCCATGTTATTTTTTGCAAAGTCAGACATGTCGAGCTTTCCAGAAAAAAAAAACACTTTCCCCAGTCATAATTGCTTGGTGGTTGATGTGAATGATGTTTACAAGTTGGAAGAGTCAGTAATTACTTGTATACCTCCCACATGACGATAAAAACATCATTCTTGTAACGCCTCCAAAGCTGTTATGTATCGTTACTCTAGCAAGCTAGTACCAATCAGCTACAAACCGATTTATCACCTAAAACCCACATGGTGTTCTCAACTTTTATATGTTTGTGTTGCTTTTAATAAAAAAAAATAAAAAACTTTCCATAGAACCAGGGCTAACAGTCTCCCTCTTGCTTCCAGGTCTTTGAGGCTAAGCTAGGCTAAACAGACTGCTTCCACCTATATTCTGTACTTGGACACATGATAGCAAATGAATACATGGATTTTTTCTTTTTAGCTGTAGGTAAAGATTGTAAAGTGTCCAATTCCCGTAGATGAATTGTCAGATTTTTCCATGCAGTGTGATGAGAACTGTTTTGTATAGCTGACCATAGAGAGGGCCGTCACACTCCTTGCTCGAGCAGCCTTCTTGACACTCAGGTTGCTTGATCAAGTGCAGCTGAACAAAAAAAAAAAAAGACAGAAATGCAACAGACTGTAATCGTTAGGAGACTCTCTTAATATTAGCTGGAAAGCGCATATTAAGTCAAAAACCATTCTATAGTTTATGCCTGAAGATAACGCTCTGCAAGGCTTTTTGGGAAGAGTGTGTAAGTTGGTAGTATCCATTGCCGGCTGAAAAAGCCTCATTGTGTTCTTGTGTAAGGATGAACAGACATAATTAGTTCTCAGTGGAGTGAGAAAACCTCCAACCTCTTTAGGACTATGAAATAATTCAATGTTATATATTTGATACAAGGAACAAGCAAACTTCACTCTCCAATTACGTCTCACAAGGTAATGATGCTTCACAAATATGTCGATACTACTAAAAGAGTGACGGAAATCTGGAAACATCTCGTTCATCTTGTTCCTCAGAAAGCAACTGATCACTTTGAAACGGAGGCTTTTCCTGTTTAAACAAATATTCAAATGGACAAACGGACGTACTTGACCAGTGAGGGTCCTCCTGTGCGGAGCGTCTGTTTGGAGCTTTAGGGATCTTGTTGGGGAAAGGATGGCCTGCTGGTTCCTTTTGGCAGAAGAGACGGTAGGGAATGTAACCTGAAAGCTGATAAAACACAAACAGTTGGTCACTTATACATGTTACTTCGTCATGTCTATATCTTTTTTTTGTTTTTAACGGTGGCCAAGAATAAGTCCACTATGAACATTTCAAATTGCCCAATCCAATGACAGGATTTGTTCCTTATGGTCGAAACCATGAAAAACACAACTGTACAATCATCGGTGGTCTCTCACTGGTGGAGCAGGGTCGCTCGTCTGGTTCATCGGGCAGGCACACACAAAACTGTTGGGCTTTTGCGAAGCAGAGGTGAGTGCAGCCGCCATTTTCACGGCCGACAGAGGTTTGGTCCCTGATGATGACGAAGGGAACCATTCCCAACTGGCAGCAAGAGAGTCTGAATTTAATTTAAGGTGCATTTTTGAGGATGTAGTTTGTGGTGTTTTTTATTGGAATTATCCTTTTAAGAATCGCAAAAACTTTTTCATTACAGAAGCTGAAAAAAAAAAGAAAAAAGAGTCCAGTTCTCTAACCGTCAAAGTTGGTTAGTAACTGGCTTAGCGCAATGAGACTGAATGATTCGAACATTTTAGAACGACAACACAACACAACTAAAGGCTATAAAAATTCAGAATTTAATCACTGAGGATTGGCAGATGATCTTTTTGTGTTTTATTATTGATAGGTATCTTGTGTCTCTCATATGTGATGGCAGGTGCCAGGAGAAAAGCCTCCTTACCCGTCTGTCTGTGAGGCATACCAACTATAATGTCATGAGCGCCTCCAGTTGGCAGCACCGTTTCTTTGTACGGCGGTGTGTTTGTCCACCCCGCATTGGATGGACATTAGTCTGGCCAGTCCGTCCAGTAGATCCACGGTCTTGCTGCGAGATCGGGAGAAAGGGGTTAGATGAGGGAGGACACCGGCTTTCAACTGGGGAAACGACGGGAGAAGAAGAGAGGAGAGGAAAAAACACAAGCATAGGAGCCGGTCGGCACGGAGGAAAAATAGAGGGAGAAGGGAGGAGTGGAGGTGTGGGTAAGAGGAGGAAGAAAAAATTGAGGAGTCAGAAGTGGAAAGCAAGTAGAAGAAATGGTTAGTTCGAATGAGTTCAGTATGAGCTGGAGGACGGAGAGACGACCAGGTGAGAGTCACACGGTGGAGCGAGAGTGAAAGAGAGCAGGTGAGGGAGGAAGGAGGGTCAGCCACAGCGGAGGTGTGGAGGGTTGGGGGTGGGGGTACAAACACATGGGGACGCCGCAAAACCAAAACAGTACGTGAGGCGACGGGTGGGAACAGCCAGGGCTGACAAGACCTCGACGCA